ATACGGGCCAGCCCGCCAACCTGCGGGCTAACCCGTTTTAACCCGCGGGTTAAACAGTCCGGGCTGCTGTAACCCGTTTTTCGGCAGGCTGGAAAAAAACAACCCTAACCCGCCTCTTTAGAGTGGGTTGGCAGGCTGGCCTGTAGGTCACAACCCATATTACCGGCTATACTGCTAGTATTTACCCATACATCAAACCTCGAGCTCTCATGTTTGAAAAGCAAGCACAGACATAAATATATTGCAATCACCGCATCACGCGTTTGCTATCAGCTCTCAGCAATCAGTACGGTAATTATTACTCTTTTATTTTAAATATAAAATTTATTTTATAGTGTAATTTATGTTACAAAATATTTATAATCTAATAAAGAAATTATTATTTTTTGTTTTAAATATGACAACTTTTCCTAACCTCACTTAAAGAAGTCATCCTAACGTCCTATCTATCTTGGTATTTGTTTGAAATAATTTATAAGTAACTTTTTAATTGTGATTTACGAAATATGATATTATTACATGAGAAGAGTTTTGTCTCAACTTACGTAAAATATGCTGTTTTAGTTATGGTGACAAACGGAGCCTTATCTTTATATCTTTATAATTAATTGAGATAATTTATTTTTTGCTATCTATTTTATTTTTTTAATTTATTATATGTCATAAAATTAAAATGATAAGTCTAATACTCCTCTAGTTCTATTTATAAAGCACTTTCAGTATATTTTATACAGACAAAAAAAATCTTAAAATGCATTAATTCTCTATTAAAATATAATAATTTTTTAACTTTACCTATATTTAATATATACACCTTTCAAAAGAGATAGCTACCTACACTATAATAAATTAAAAACAAAATAGTATATTCACACTGAAAATTTAATAAAGTGACTAATAAATAGGATAAAAAAATATCTCTATCCGCCTTATAGATAGTACTAGAGGAGTAAGTAATAAGCCAAATGGTCAAAAAAAAAAAAGAAGCAATAATCCAAAGCCTAGTGTAAGTTGTCCCATGACGTACCGCTTGGGTATTTACAAACATGTGTTTCTGTGTTATTTCAGCCGAATTCATGAGTCACAGAGGAATATATATATATATATATATATCTGTGTGTGTGTGTTACAAAATTAACCAACAAAAAAAAGTAGATTGGAGAAGAGATGTAGACAAGAAAATGGAAGAATGATATTGTATTCATTCACTTGTTTCACTTACCTTACAATATAATGACATGCCCTATTTATAGACATAATCTTACACATAAGTTACACTTATACTTAAATAATAAATAATAGATAATAAACCACATGAATGTGAGTAGGGGGTGAGTTACAAGACTAAGGCATAGTAGAGAAGTAATAGAGTAGTGGAAGAGTAATGCTTAGTAGAAGTAGTAGGAGCTGATGAAGTTGAAGAGGAAGAGGAAGAGGAGATGGACATTCACATTTGATAATATTCATAACACCCCCCTTGGATGTCTATTATATAAGGATGTGCCTCATTAAAAAACTTCAACTAGGAAAAACCCTGTGGGATAAAAACCTAGCAGAAGAAAAAGAATACCCATTCATTGATACACAATTTAATGCTGCTTTATTAAAAACCTTGCTAGGAAAACCCAGTGGAAAAAACCATAGACAAGGAAAAAAGAGAGTATAGCATGTATTAACTCCCCCTCTTAATAATATCAATTGATATCCCTGAGTCTTTGACATCGGATATCATGAACAAGCTTTTCAAATATTGTAATAGGAAGTGACTTGGTAAACAAATCTCCTAGATTTTCATTTGAATGGATTTGCTATATATATATATATATTACCATCTTTTGAATATTATGAGACAAATACTCCATTTGGAATTACCAGCATATGGATCATAAAAGAATCTAGAATTCTATTCCAATGTCTTTGATAAAGAACTATATCATACTAACAAGTTAACAGTAAATGATATGTCAAGTCATTGGTGACTGATAAGATATGATATGGTACTTCTGGACCTATGATTTGGTACTTATGGACCAAGTAGTTCTTCATCACCTTCTCAAAATCTAAAAATTTCTTTATTGACCTTCACAAATCTCACAACCATCAAAGTATATAATAGATGTGATTTATCCATATAAAAACATTTTAAGACCTTTCTTGTATCAGTTATTTGATACACAAAAATTTTTATTTCTCAAGTATTCAATTTGCAATCCAAGGCAAAACCTTGTTCTTCCCAAGTCTTTCATTTTAAATTCTTTCTTGTGAACAATTTACAGCTTTTATTAGCTCTTTAGGAGTTTTGATGATATTCATGTCATCAATACAAACAAAAATTATAACAAACTCATTTTAAGAAGTTTTCATAGAAATACATGGGCGAATTAGATTATCTTCATATCATTCGTTCAACCGATATTTACTTAGTCGGTTATACCAGATTAGCCTTGATTGCTTCAATTCTTATAGAAACTTATTTAACTTAATTAAGTATTGTTCGCAAAAACTTGAATTGTATGTTTCTGACAAGTAAAATCCTTCAAGAAATTTCATATATTTTGATCCAGAACTATAGAATAAATGATACACACTAAAATTATTTTAATCTTCATAATATTTCATATACTGAAAGATTTTCTTATATATGCTCCTGGCATATTTTGGATCCTTCAAGGATTATTATGTAAATTTTACTATTTAATGATCCTCATCCATGGGTCATAATAATATCTAATAGACGCATTTCATAACCGCCAGGCTATTCAAATATGTAAAATTATATCTACCACAAAATAACATGTCTCATCATAATTATTTGTGAAAATCTTTATTTTCACATAAACATCCATATATTCTATAGAAACTTTATATTTCATGTGTTCAGACTGCAAGCCGATTTTTACATATTTAAATAATATTTTCATCACGTCTTTTTTCTTTTTACTTTTCTTCTTGGCCAAATTTATGTCTACTTTGTATGATAGATTTATGTATAAGATCCTCCTTTTATCTCGTGATATTCTTATCAAAATCGTCATTGATAACCTCTATCTTTTCGGTTCTATTTTTCTCTCATGACATAACTTATTGATATCTCTTTTTTCCTCTTCAGGTACTTGAACCTCTTTTGCGGTTTATAATTAGTTATGTTTTAACACTCTTCTAGAATACATGCCTCCTCAATACAACTTCTAAGGTGTATGCTCGTCTTTATTCAAGATATTTATATTGGAACCAGTTAACCTCTCATGCTTCCAGCATGTCTCATTTTTATTTATACTATTTAGAGCATTTTTAGTTGGAATAAGAGATTTAAAAATTTTCATTCAGGTCAGTAAAATATTTTGTAGCATTTCATGAATGCAATTTTGATGAACTTCTGGTCTATATTGATATATTTGAGGATCTATATTGGGAAAATTACTGTAGAGTCCCACAGAAGACAATTTACTACCAGAAGGTCCCATGAAATCCCCAAATTCCTCATAAGTCCCCAGGGACCTCTGGGTAAATAATTTGAGTTGTGATATTACGTACTTGCCCTCAGTCATTGATAAAGGAAAGAAAAGAGGGAAAGACGCTGATTGGCTTCATTTAGTGCGGTTGTTTGTTATGCATGCACAAGGAAGAGAAGCTTCTGAAAGAAAGAAGGGAGTTATGCGCTGGTACTCCATCGCAGGCAAGCAACATTATTTCTTCATCTTCTTGGTACGTCTCATCATTAACAACATTTCTCTTCTTCTGTACACAACCAGTGTCAAGTTTAATGTTGGTCTGAAAAGTTGATTGTGTGTTGATATGTGGGTATTAAAGATGTGATTCAACTCACTAGAAATATTAAGGGAGGCTCATTTTAGTCATATGTGGTTTTAATCATGTTAGGTGTGGTTTTACTATGTGTGGCTAGGGTTAGAAAGCAATGCTCTGTTTTTCGGTGAATGAGGCTCTATTTTTCGGTCACTGATGCTGTGTTGCTGATGAAGATGAGTGGAAAATAACAGATATTTATTATTGTAACCTCTCAAATGCGATGGTTAAATGTGTTGTTAATGGGTACATTGAAGGTTGTTAACATAACTGTATGACTTGTTATTAACAACCAGTCGCAGCTTTAATGCTGGTCTGAAAAGTTGATTGGGTGTTTATACGTTGGTATTAAGCATGTGATTCAGCTCTCTAGAAATATCAAGGGAGGCTCATTTTAGTCATATGTGGTTTTAATCATGTTAGGTGTGGTTTTACTATGTGTGGCTATGGTTAGAAAGCAATGCTCTGTTTTTCGGTGAATGATGCTCTGTTTTTTGGGCAATGATGTTGTGTTGCTTATGGAAATGAGTGGAAAATAACAGATATTTATTACTGTAACCCCTCAAATGCGATGGTTAAATGTGTTGTTAATGGGTACATCGAAGGTTGTTAACATAACTATATGAGTTGTTATTAACAAGTGATTGTGGCAGGTTGATATCCAGGATGGCAACTTCCAGTGCAAAGCAATTGTTTTGCTACCTCCATATAGGAGGACAATTTATTAATGGTGTAGAAGGTGAAACGCAGTATGTTGGAGGTGGTGTGAGAACAAGAATGATAAAGGAAGGGACATCATATGGAGAATTTAGAACAATGGTGGCATCAATTGTGGGAAAAGAAAGTAATGGAATGGTTATGAAATTCACAGTAACCTTTGATGAGTGTACATTTGTGGACCTTGTAGATGATGAAGGAGTAGAACATCTGATTAACTTCAATGGCGACAGTGGTCATGTATATATAGGAGAAAATGGAGATCAAAATTCACAACTAACAAGGGATGTTGTAATAGAAGAGCAACATGTGTAAGTTGTGTTATTTAAATTTCGAAGTAATATTAGCTATTGTCAACTGTTGTGCATAAGTTGTTATTATAGTGATCGAAGGTTGTCATTAACGACCCCTTGACCTGTTCTGTTATGTAGGATGGAAGACTTGTTCGGAGGTTCAAATACATTGTCTATATCTCCACCTAATGTGGTTAGTGAAGACCCACTATTGTTGCCATGTGGTTCAGAAATGATGCCAACCCCAATTCCGGAAATGAATTCAACAAAGTGGAAGGGTTTGGTTATCGGAGAAGGACAGATTTTTCCTAATGCAGTGGCTCTTAGGCAAGCACTGTATAGGTACAGTATTGCTGTGAAGTTTTCATACAAGTTTGTGAAGAACAATCAACAAAAGATCATTGTGAAGTGTATGGCGGAGGGATGCCCGTGGTATATGGGTGCATACTCAATGGGACAAAGACAAGATTCTGAGTTGTTAATAATTAGAACCTTAAGAAGTGAGCATGTGCATTATGCACAGGACAGCTTGGTTGTATCTCACTCTAGAGGGTCAAACTTAACATCATCAATCATGATAGATTCTTTGAGGTGTAATATAGACAAGAATGCTAATGAACTTAGAAGAGATCTGTATAGAGAATATGGGGTGCGACTGAATTATAGTCAAGCATACAGGGGTAGAGAAAGAGCATTGAGGGAAATACATGGTCGTGCACAGGATTCATACATGGCGATTCCCTGGATTTGTGAAAGGCTCATTGAAACTGATCCAAACACAAGTGCTCGATGGGAAGGGTTGGATAGTAACAGATTTCAGAGGGTGTTCATTGCTTATGGATGCTCAATTAATGGATTTTTAGAAGGGTGTCGACATATACTTTATATAGACGGCTGTCATCTAAGTGGTCCTTACAGGGGGACATTGATTTCAGCTAATGCATATGATGCAGACAATGAACTATTTCCATTAGCATATGCTATAGTTAGTGGGGAGACATATGATGATTGGGCTTGGTTTCTCCAGAACATCAAAGACATCACAAGATCAGTGGAGACAACGATAGTTTCAGATCGGAATAATGCCATTATAGGTGCTGTGCGAACAATATTTGGTGGCGAGAGACATGCTTTTTGTTATAGGCATGTGAAAGAAAATTTTAGTGCACATTATTTAAAAATTAACCGAGGCAGGGGACGAGTTTCAGGTACTTCAAAGGACGTTGCATTGAAAATGCTGGATGGAATCGCCTATGCAAGGATTGAGGATGAATATGTTGCTGCAATGGGGAAACTTAGATCATTCTGTCCACAATTGGCTGATTGGGTTGACACTCAAGGAGATGTAGATCGGTGGGCTTTAAGCAAATTCCGTTTAAGCGATGGGATAACATCACTACTAATGTTGCGGAGTCGTTTAATGCCTGGATTTTGAAGGAGAGGAAGCACAATGTGTCAGTTCTCATACATGAGCATATGGAGAAATTAGCCAAGAAGATGGTTGCAAGCAAAATGGCAATGGAAAATTGGACAAATGGCGTTGGGCCAAATATTGAGTCCAAGTTGCAAGAAAAAGTAGCAAGAGCGGAGAATATGCATACTGTATATTATGGAGATAACCGAGTTCAAGTTGATACTACATCTCCTACTGGAATAATTTGTGTCACTGTTGATCTCACAGCTCAGAAATGCACTTGTTTAGCATGGCAAATGAGCGGAGTACCTTGTGCTCATGCCTGTGCAGCGATAAAGCTACTTCATGGTAGTGTTTATGAATTTGTAGATGATTGCTATAAGCTGTCAGCCCAAGAGAAGATATATGCAAGTAGTATGAGGCCAATTGCGACACATGATTGTCCTCGTCCCGAAGCTCTCACCGTTACGCAGATGATGACGGGAACATTTTTACAGCCACCAATCACTAAAAGACCCTCAGGGAGGCCAAAGAAAAGAAGGATTGAATCTCAATTTCAAAGTAAAAAACTTTACCACTGTGGAAGATGCCATGAGCCAGGCCACACTGTGAAGACTTGCCAGAACCCCAATCCAAGTTGAGCTTTGCTGGTGGCTTGTTGATATTTCGTTTTGTGAATGCTTGTGACAGCATTTTTTTTGTAAATGTCATAACCTACACCTCAAGTTGTCCGTCATTATCCACACATGCAACACGTATGCTTTTTTGAATAGGTTGTAAATTTGGTGTAGTTATGTTGTACATATATATATCAAGTGGTAAATGACACCTGGTTGTAATCTGATATAACATCATTTCTGTATTTTTGATGTACTGGTGAATAGGTTGTAATGGACTTGTTATCAGACGCCATGCAGGTTGTCATTAGCAGTCTCAATTATGTTACTGATATAAAGTGACAATTTCTCCTACTTCCAGTGTTCAGTGATTTCTTAAGACATTCGAGCTGTGTTAAAGTCATAATATGATATGATTTGGTTAGAATTAGATCTCATGTGGAGGTTGTGGTATCCCCAGCGTCAGTTGTCAGGGGCAATGCGAAGGTTGTTAACCAATTCTGTTCGGGTTGTCAACAATCCCTGTTGAGGTTGTAAATGAATTGCTGGAATAAAAATCTGCTATAATATGATTTGGTTCTTTTTAAGCTGTTAATGACTTTAAAATGCTCTCAATTTTTGCTATTAAGGTCGTTATATGTGCTCATAATATAATTAAGTTAACAGCTGTGTTATACCCCGACTGAGTTGTTAACCAATTCTGTTCGGGTTGTCAACAATCCCTTTTGAGGTTGTGAACAACCCCTGTTGAGGTTGTAAACAGATGTGGCAGAGAGGACTCTGATATATGCCTATGATGTCACCGTGGGTACCATTTGTTTATCCAGTCTTATTCAGTCTGCATTTGTGGCCATGATGAAAACACATGAATGCCTTTACAAAAACTTGATAACCAGTAAAGGATATCAAAACACATTAACATATCTTAACATTCAGGATTCATACATGCTCAAAGAAAAGAATAAAATGTAAACTTGACGTTCAGATGTCACTATGCTGTCAAATAAATAAATGTAAATACAATATATGCTTGTCATTTATTTCTTCCTCTTGCTTTGGGGGTTTCCTCGCAGCAAAGACAACACTTCATCGCCATGCAAGTTGTTCCGATGAGTCACGAGCCACCACAAGCATCCAACCTTCAAGTCATGGATTTCTTCATGGGAGTACTTAGGTATTGTGTAGCCGTCATCACCATACTCAGTGCCGTCCCATGTTTGTAACCAGCTCAACACATGCACCCCACAAGAGTCCCTACAAAGGAAAAACAAGTACTTTAGTGAATGAACATTAGCTCCCAAAAGTTGAGACACAAGTACTTGTTGTGCTGAAAAATAACTCACGTGTCAGATTGCACATGAACTTTTGCCCATGTGACTTCCTCGTCAATCTTGTCCTCCTCCGCAAACAGTGATGGCTTTAGCACACGAAGCACTTGGCAAAAACAATCTCTCTGCAAAAAAGGGACAAACAGAAGAAACAAGTTTGACAGTTGTGAATGACAAGTTATCAGGAAGCATTAACAACCTTCGCTGTAGCCAATGACAAGTAATCAGCAGGCATTAACAACCAGGACAGTTAAGCAGACAAGCAACCATAACGCATTAACAAGTTATAGAATGAATGTAAAGTTGTGCATACAATCCCTCTCGCCATGAATTGCTTAGGATCTATCTGTCCTCTCTTCTTCCCTTGCTTCCTTTGTGGTTTCTTCCCTGTTTTCATTGCTTCTTCTTCCTCTCTTTGTAATCTCAACATCGTCAAATTGTCCACCAACGAGTCAAGGGCATAGAAACGCATAGTTCTTACATCCATCACGTAACAGAACCAATGGTAATTGAAAAGGGTGGGGCCAAATATGAAGTCACAGTCTCCAATGTTATATCCTATGTGCTCCGGTAAGATTTCATGTTCATGTTTTTCCATGCTCCACCTAAGAGGATTAGCGGCCATTGTTTGCATTAACTCGGGTGTAAAAATGTGCCTATTGACACGACTGTGGTTCTCTTTTTCATCTCCCACCAAGGTTCTCGCCACCATAGACATGAACTATATCACACATACAAACAGTTAGTCATGATCATAATGACATTCGCAGTTCTCTATCTATATAAACAACTGTCTTACCTTGTCGTTCATCCATTTCCTGTCTTGTAGGCAGCAAAGCTCAGCACGTGTCAAGAAGTACCCATACATCTCTACAATGTACCTGCAGCAAAAGGAACAATGAGCACAAGGGTTGTATGTGTAAAATTGTTGTCAATCAGTTGTCCCAATTACAATCAGTCCCAACACTTACTTGGCACCTTCATCTTGATCACATCTTCTCGTGCACATCTGGAATAATTCCTCTTTCTCGTCAGCTTTTCTCTTGCCACGGCCTTTTTTCACCTCCTCTAACCAGGGAGATTTGATTGCACGGCTTCTCACCCGTGTTGATCTTCTTACATCCATTTGCCCTTGTGCTTGCTGGTCCCTTTCATCCTTTTCCTCCATTTCATCGCCTACACCCTTATCCTCTTCTGCTGCTGCATCACTAGACTTGTCTTGTGTTTTTTCTTCTCCATCATCCTCTGATCCAGAGTGACTCCCTTCTCCTTTCTCCTCAGGTTGAGATTGACTCTCTTCTTCACTCGAAGCACTTTTGCCCTCTTCATTTGACTCTCTTCTTCACTCGAAGCACTTTTGCCCTCTTCTTTATCATCTCCTTCTGGTTCACTCTGTTGTTCCTCTTGTGACATAATTGAATCTTTTGGGCTTCCTTTACCTTCTTCACCGGTTTCTTCATTTTCAGTTGCCTTCTCTTTGTCATCTTCGCTACTTACTGCTTCCACCACATCTTCCTTGTCAATCTCATCCGTCAACCTCAACTACAGGGAAACCAACTCTTCTCCAATTGTCGACACCAACCCTTCAACCATGGTCATCAACCTTTCATACGTTCCTTGATTTCCTGCAAAACAACAGTAATGAAAGTTATCATTACTCCAAATTCTACACAGCACCAAAATAAGCTTCACATGATTTACTTACAGGGTGGGTTAGCTTTATTCCTGTGTTGGATGCACTTGTTGAAGCCCCACCGACACTCGGAACGCCATGCAGTATGCCTCTGTCGCTATTCTTTTCTAATTTCACTCTTGCCTTCACTTTTTCCTCATCCCAATAAGTAATGGCATTTTCATTTTTTTGCCGCCTTTTCTTTTCCGAGAGGAAAGTGTTGTAGGCAATAAATCTGCATGTGAAGTTAATGATAACTTAGATATACAACAACATCATCCAAACAGGCCACTGACAACATAAACAGCGAAAAATCACAACCTACACACTGCCCAATAACAACATACACAGTGACCAATCACAACCTACACATAACCGTCACAACATACATTTGCGCCATTCACAACATGTACAGCATCTAGTGACAACCCATACTCAACAGAATGACAACACGAACAGACTGCAATTACAACCTATACATAACCAGGTGACAAACCAACACAGCCCAATGACAACCTGCACACAGGTCAATAACAACCTCCACACCATCCACTCACAACATATACATAACCAGTTCACAGCGTACATTTCCCCAACTCGACGGCATAGAGTAGTAAATAACAACATACACAGTGACCAATCACAACCTACACATAACCCTGTCACAACATACATTTGCGCCATTCACAACATGTACAGCATCCAGTGACAACCCATACTCAACAGAATGACAACACGAACAGACTGCAATTACAACCTATACATAACCAGGTGACAAACCAACACATCCTAATGACAACCTGCACACAGGACAATAACAACCTCTACACCAGCCAGTCACAACATATCCATAACCAGTTCACAGCATACATTTCTCCAACTGACGGCATAGAGTAGTAAATAACAACATACACAGTGACCAATCACAACCTACACATAACCCTGTCACAACATACATTTGCGCCATTCACAACATGTACAGCATCCAGTGACAACCCATACTCAACAGAATGACAACACGAACAGACTGCAATTACAACCTATACATAACCAGGTGACAAACCAACACATCCTAATGACAACCTGAACACAGGAAAATAACAACCTCTACACCAGCCAGTCACAACATATCTATAACTAGTTCACAGCGTACATTTCTCCAACTGACGGCATAGAGTAGTAAATAACAACATACACAATGACCAATCACAACCTACACATAACCCTGTCACAACATACATTTGCGCCATTCACAACATGTACAGCATCCAGTGACAACCCATACTCAACAGAATGACAACACGAACAGACTGCAATTACAACCTATACATAACCAGGTGACAAACCAACACATCCTAATGACAACCTGAACACAGGAAAATAACAACCTCCACACCATACAGTCACAACCTACACATCAGCTAATCACAACCTACATTTGTGTCATTCACAACATGCACAGCAGCCATTGACAACCCACGATAAACCGAATGACAACACGAACAGAAGGCAATTACAACCTATACATAACCAGGTGACAAACCAACACAATCTATTAACAACCTGCACACAGTACTATAACAACCTTGACACCAACAAATCACAACCTATACATAAGCAGTTGATAGCGTAGTAAATAACAACCTACACAGCACATTGACAACAGAGTAGTAAATAACAACATACAGAGCAACCAATCACAACCTACACAGCACATTGACAATAGACTAACATCAAAGTAAATGAATCATACCCACACTTACCATTAGGAAGTACATGCAACCTCCCACATTTTTCGTCCCATCAGCTTTTCCTTTCTTCTTTCCTTTCTTGAACTCTGCAATTGAGTTGCAGAATTCTTTCAAAACTAAGTTGCTCCAATCATAGTGTCCTAAACTATCCTTTGTCACCACCATGACTTTCAACACTTTATCACTCACCCATACACTAGAGCCAGGACACAAGAGGACTCCTAGTGCATACATAACAAAAAGGAATTCAAACTTTTCTTCCTCTTTTCCTTCAATCAACCATGTTCCTATTGTTTTGTATGGCACTTTCCCGTAGTCACTCCTTAATTTCTTGAACGTTTCATCTTCATTCTCCACATTTATTTTAATATCTTCCCCCTTAAATGGTAGACCCATCAATTCATTCACATCTTCGGGCCCCACTAAATGCGTCTTCCCTCGAATTGAAATTTGCCTACTTACAGGGTCAAACACACGGATCAATTCACCACAAAAATCTCTATAGATCTGTGAGCAGCATATGTCAACCAATTTATCAAAACCAATTCTTTTCAGTCTTTCCATCTTATCTTTACTTTTCTTTAATTGCTTGTAGACTTCCATAAATTGTCCCGGAGCACAACGTGTGTGAAAGGGAACAATATAATTCTTCCCTTTTGGTGGGACTCTCATTTCTTTAGCCCTTTCACCATATTGTTCTTTCTCCTCTTCTGTTAAGTTCCCCCAAGCCTTTTTCACAGAGTTAGTGCCCTCTTCAAAAGACTTAAACTTCTTCTTGTTCTGCTCATAAAACTCTTCAGTGAATAATATGTATCCGGAGAAATTCCTAGCCCTTTGTCCATCTTTACTCTTACTCTTTTTAGTCATTTTGTTCGATTGCAAAAAGGAAAAAAATTACTGTCATCAACATATATTTTAAAATAGTAAGTATCTTCAACACCACCAAATTATTCACTAATCAACAAAATCAAAATATATCCCTTTGGATGACAGAAAGCAATGAACGGCAGTAAATAATATGGATCACAAATCAATCCACCAAAATGAATTTCCCTTCATTGGTTATAGTATAGAGCCAATAGGTGCTATATCCAACAAGCAATTCCCTTTCTGACCTTATGGCCAAATTAACATTCCACCATGGAGCCCACCATAAAAAGCCAAACAAAACCTTTATTATTTTATTGCCGAACAAATCAATTACATAAAGTTCTCCCTTTTAATTCAGCAATATTAACAATAACTGATTGCTGCATTTAAAAAGCTCTACCAAATCAAATTTTTCACAATTTTAACCAGTGTTCTTCAAACTGATATCTAATATAACTTAGTACCAACCAGCCCCAACTTTTGCCCCTAACTTTGATTCGCATGTCAGATCATTGTAATATCCACATACTTCACATTTCTAATATCACAGTGAAAATACAAGTCACGGTTATCACTGGTTCCATATATAAACACACGAAACAACCGAACATTCCAAACCACTTCAGGTCATCGAGCAGCTTTTACGAACAATCAACAATTCAAATGTTCAAACATTCAAAACCAAACATTTTTCAAAATATGACCAAGAAGCTTGAAATTGTCAAATATTCTAACCGAGAGAGACTAGTTGTCTGGAGATTAAGGCGTTAGTAGAGAGACCACCGGACTGTACCAGAGAGTTCACGGTGTCGGAGTAGACGGCAACTGAGTGCGGACCAGAGAGGGATGGAGTGCTGACCAGAGTCGGCCGGACCGTGCTGGAGATTGAAACCGTTCAATGCGTCGGAGAAGACGGCGACGACGGGCGGACGAGAGACCGACGGACTGCGGACGACAGACTGACGGCGTGCAGACCCGAGACCGATGGACCGCGCAGGGGATTGAAGGCGTTGGACCAGAGAGTGACCGAATGCGGAGCAGCGACCGACAATGTACCAACCAGAAACTAACAGACCTCGCCGGAGATTGAACCTGTCGGAGCACACAAGGATAAAGCACCAACGACACGGCGGCGGAGTGTGAGCGGGCGACGGAGTGTGAGCAGGCGACGGAGTGTGAGCGTGCGGCCGATTTCGCGAAGATGAAAACCGAAACGATTTTGAGTGTGCTTCGGTTACTTTCTCTAATCAAAAGGGCAAGAAAGTAATTGCAAGTTTCAAATTTTTTGCTATAAGGTCCCTTGGGACCTTATATACATTTTCTGATTTCATGGGACCTTCTGGTAGTAAATTGTCTTCTGTGGGACTCTACAGTAATTTTCCCATCTATATTTGATAGTAATAATGCATTCTATGCATTCTCTTTTCCAACTACTCAATTTCTCCCCCTCATATTAGGAAAACTTTATCGAATAACAGTCGACTAATTATGCAGTATAAGTCTCCTAAATCCATTTGCTTCTTTTAGGAACATTATTTTGTTCCATTTAGAGACAACTAAGAAGAAGGAGGTTCTTATCAACATATGTCCTAACTTTCTTTAAATATCCATCTATGTGCATTGTGGTGGATTAGTAAGAATAAATATTGGACATTTCAATTTTTAGATGAAAAATATCTGACTCCTAACTAAAAGCCAATTTTATTCAGAGAATTGTGTTGCCTTGATATGTATAAGTACTGTAATATATTAAATTAAATATGCCAACACTAAAATGAAAAAACTTGTTCTCATAAATATTGATCCAACTATTCACATAAGCATTAATAAATGATTTTGCTAGATAAATTTGTTAAGCAGGCTTTTCAACATTAA